TGGTGGAACAAACTTAATTACATGAAGGTATTATCAATCTAAAATGAAATCATATTAAATTTTATTTAAAAAAATATATTTTTTAGTCTTTATTTTTTCATTTATAAAATTTAAATTTAAAATTTTATTTAAAAAAATTGAGTTATTTTATATCCTATTTAAAGCAACCAAATTTTTTTCACTTGCACGAAAGAGGTTCGTTGGTGGAACAAACTTAATTACATGAAGGTATTATTACCATATGTGAATAACCGCCTTCTCGCTCTGCAGTCTGAACTCTACGACAACAGGGCAAGTTTCCGCACCCTAGCCCACCTCCGTTACTGGAAACGCTGCCGCCGGCGATTTTCGCGCCAAAATTTCCTCTGCTCTCGGAATCGAGTCCCCTCTTCTCTCTCCCATCCACAATACTAACGGAAACACTGCCCCCTTTCCTTTAATCTTCGTATCATCCAGTTTCTTCATTGAAACCCTACCTCCATCTTTGTAACCTTCAACCTCATCGTCACCGAGAAATTGGAAGTGTTGAGTCTTGTATCTGTGATTGAATTGAAAGCGGGAATGCTTTATTGATTGAGGAATGATGTCGTCCGAGGGTTTGTTAGGGCTTTATTAACCTTCATAGTCGGGGGCGTAGAAGGAGAGGGAATACGGGCAAGGTCGAGATTTTTAGTTCCGGTGATCTTATTCTAGCAAAGAACTTGCAATTCCGGCCAAGGTGTCTCCATTTTATCCCTTTTTTCCTGAATTCCTGGTTCCTACACATTATTATCTGCGAATAATGTTGACATAGATATACTTATTTTATCCATTTTGTAGTTTTTATCATAATCAGGATGCTAATTAGTAGTTTTTTTAATTGATGCCTAAGTTTTATCATTAAAACTTTATTCAGTGTGGTAATAAAGCTTTGGGTTTGGAGTGACATTGACTATTTTGGAATAATCATGGTTGTGGAGTGATGATTTTTTCATTAATCAAACAGAGATAGCAGGGCAAAACTTGCCAGTTTATAGAAAAAATGAACTAAGGATCAAAGGTAGAACCTTGAGTTTTGGTGTACTTTAAGGCTGGTTTATGGTGATGAACAATTTTATCCACTAATGAAATTCACCTGCTGGAAAGATGAAAAAAAGGAACCTTGCATTATAGCTTTAGTTATTGCTGAAAATATTCATCCAATTAATGGGCTTTCATAAGCCTCTCAAATGTAATTATTTCTTTTTCTGTTGTGTGGAAGGAAAGTGTAAATGTCTTTTCTCTTTACTTCTCAAGGGTGGTATTCATTACAAATATTCAAATTAAGGTTTTTCTTCAATTTGTCTCTATGATTTCAGATGAGTCTTGTGACTGATTCACCAGTACACTCATCCAGCAGTGGTGACGATTTTGCCGCATATCTTGATGCAGAGCTGGAAACTGGTTCTTCAGACTCATTAGGTGATGAAGAAGTTGAAGCTAATAATGAACTGGAGGAAGATGTTGAGGATGATGATGACCATGAAAGTAATAGGTACTACTTCTATGGGGTTGATAATTATCTTAGCATCTGAAAAATGTGTAATTTGATTTAGTTTGATGCCTCCTTTTCATTTGTTATTTTTAAGATTTCTGTGGTCAAAATAAAGATTATTCTTTTCAACAAACTTAAATGTTTAAGTAACTTGCAGGACAAAAAGGTTGAAGGTGGAGAAGGTTCAACATGTATTAGATCCTCAAGGATCAACCTCTCAGGTTTTGATGGAAAAAAACATAGGTAAAAGCTTTGACTATTTTTTCTAGTCCTCAGGTTACAAAATAAAATTACACCCTCAACGCTACATTCTTACTGACCATTGGAGCACCACTCAGCCTCTTACTATCGTTTTTATGTGGAAATATTATTACATGCAGAAGTATCTGTGGAGCAGGACATATGTACACATCCAGGGTCTTATAAGAATTTGTGCATGATCTGCGGGAAAGAATTGGATGTTGAATCTGGTGTCTCAGTTGGGTACATACAGCAGGTACTCACCTGCTGAATTGTTGGTTTCCGTATTATCGATTATGATCATGGCAAGTTCTTTATATTTTTCTAGTTATTTCTAATATTTAATAGATTCTTAAGATGCATAGGACATTTTTTATTGCAGGGACTGAGGCTTGGAAATGATGAAATTGTTCGCATACGTAACACAGACATGAAAAATCTGTTACGTCACAAGAAGCTTTACTTGGTTCTTGATCTTGATCATACGCTGCTTAATTCAACTCATCTCATGGATTTGACGCTTGAAGAGGAATATCTAAAGGGCCAAACTGATTCTTTTCAAGGTATCTGCTTTTATTACATGTTTAAGTTATTCTGCTTTCTATGCTAAGGCTCTATCCATCTTTTTCATGCTGATTCTCTGTCCAAGTCACAGATATTCCAAAAGGCAGCCTATTCAGGTTGGACTTTATGCATATGATGACCAAGCTGAGGCCCTTTGTTCGCACATTTCTCAAAGAGGCAAGTGAAATGTTTGACATGTACATCTATACCATGGGTGATAGACCATATGCATTAGAAATGGCCAAACTTCTTGATCCCAGAGGAGAGTACTTCCATGCTAGAGTGATCTCACGAGATGACGGCACCCAAAAACATCAAAAGGGTCTTGATGTGGTGCTAGGGGAAGAAAGTGCTGTTCTGATTCTTGATGACACTGAAAATGTAAGTGGTTATTCAACTAGCTAACAAATACTTCTGAGTCCATTATGAATATGCTAATCTCTGTGTCTCAATTCTCTCAAAATATTTCCATGTGAGGACCATGTTTAATCAAATAATAACTCTAACCAGTTTTATGTGAAAAACATTCTGGTATATCTGAACTCCAAGAAATCGTTAATCTATATTTACTCGAACTATATGAATTATATGAAGAAGATGGTATATAAATGTTCATAGATTAACTGACAATGAGCAGAGGTTTGCATCTGTGCTAGTCAATAACCAACTATTTCTCAATTCTATATTGGACAGACACTTTGGATGACTTCTTGCTACAGATGGAAATCGAAGGGCAGTTTGATTAATTTTTTGCATCTCAGTTCATTTGTTGATATCTTCCTTCCATCCCTTTTCTAGTGTCCTTAGGACCTGCTTTTCATGATTCTAGTTCTAATGATCATTTTATATCATTTCTTAGTCAAAATCTCATCATATTTGTCAACTCTTTTTATTATAGGCATGGGCAAAGCATAGGGACAATTTGATACTGATGGAGAGATATCATTTCTTTGCTTCAAGTTGTCGTCAGTTTGGCTACAATTGCAAGTCTCTCTCTCAGCTTAAGAGTGATGAAAGTGAGACTGAAGGAGCTCTCTCCTCCGTTCTTAGAGCATTAAGGCAAATCCACCATATGTTCTTTGATGTATGTAGTGCCTCTTCTCTCTCTATTTGTAAAAAGCTTATTTACAATTTATTTTGGCTTGCATTATGTGCTTGAATACATTGGCTGTGAAACTTCTTGCAGGAACTTGATGGCAATCTAGATAACAGAGATGTGAGGCAGGTATATTTTGCTATGATCCTGAAATTACAGATGTTGATGTTGCTATTATTGTTAATTAGTTTTCCCACATCCATTATGTCATTGTAAATTAGCTTTTCTTGTCTTTCTCTGCAGGTGTTAAAAACAGTTCGAAAGGAAGTTCTGAAGGGATGTAAAATTGTTTTCAGCCATGTATTCCCCACCAGAATCCAGGCTGATAGTCACCCTCTCTGGATAATGGCAGAGCAATTAGGAGCTACATGCTTAAGAGAGGTTGATCCGTCTGTGACGCATGTGGTCTCAATGGATGCTGGTACAGAGAAGTCTCGTTGGGCAGCCAAGGAAAAGAAATTTCTGGTCCATCCACGTTGGATAGAAGCAACAAATTATTTGTGGCAGAAGCAACCTGAGGAAAACTTCCCTGTGGCCGGAGGTGCTACTGACCCTCAGTAGCAGTTGATAGTTTGGGGACTCCGGCCCACTTTAGAAGTGTAACCTGATTCTGTGTCAGCTTCACCCAGTCAACTACTAAAAGACCCAGGTCGTAGTTTAATCGGCAAAATTCCCAAGTCGGAGATAGGATTCTCAAATTTTTGTATTCATGGTGGATCTTTACCCTTTTGATAACTTCACCCCGAACTTCTTGTAAATAATTGATAAGCATTTTTGTAGGGTTACATGTTTATCACTCTTGAACTTTTATACGGGCATGAATTTTGTAGATTGTGCTTCTTCCTTTAGCATATTCAGTTTTCGTTTAGCTCAACTAACAACTGTGCCTACAGACGTAGTTTCAAAATCCTCCAGTTATATCTAAAGACTGGGTCCGGACCATGAAACAGAGATAACCCTCTATTTTCCCAAGTGCCTCCCACTCGTCGCAATATAGGAATTTGAGATTTTAATTTAGAATTTTAAGTTTTTATAATTTGAGACTCTCTTGGCGGGATTGGTAGTTTCATGAAACGTAGATGAGTTTTCTAGGGTGACCATTGTATCAATGAAATGCCTGCAATGATAAAGATAGATCGGACCCTATCTGACCGTGTTAAGACACTCAAAAACCAAATCCTGATTTCAGACAGAGAAAAGACCCGACAGTTCAGGCAAAAAAGGACATAGTTTTCAGTCTGATTGAAGCCTGCATGTGCGTCTTCAACAGGACACATGGACCACATGGAAAAGTGGGGATTCTGGTTTCGAATTTAAAGCCTTTTTCACTAAAATGACCAAACTATCATACGTGATGATGAGAATATTGAACCTCCAAGAAACTGTATTTGAACCAAATTTAGGTTTGTAGAAGATTGACCTTCACTCTTTACGGCACCATGATGGCGCCGTGGATAAGTTGAAGTACCCAAAATTGTGCGCTGGTGATATAACTATTCCTGCAATGGTAAATGATGGGTTGGATCCATGTTCACATCATTGTTTTCCGCTGTGTCGGCAACTCTAATGCAGACAAGATTGGAAGATTTTCTATTCAACAATTTTGTACAAGATTAGATATGGATGAAAATGATAAAACTAGGGGCAGAACTGAATTCTGGTAAAATTCCCAATCAGTGAGGCTTTTTGGCCGGTTTTATAACCTTAAGGGCGTGTTTGGTTGGGGGAAAATTTCTCCCAACTTTCATCTCATTGGGATTTTTTTAGGACTATATTCAAATTTTTAACGTATAATTGTACAACAAAAGTAAGAAGGTAAAATTAGCATTTTTTAATTTTTATTTTCTTTAATAAAAATTCTAGATAAGAAATCTTTTTTTTTTCCACATTATTAAAAGGAAAAAAAAAAACTTTTCCTTTCAACTTTCCTATTATAAGATTTACTTGACACATTTCTACTAACTTTACCAACATCAACTTTTTAACAAAACATAAAAGAGTTTACAATCACAACAAAACTTTGATAATATTTTAGTACCAAATTCATTTACTTTTTATATACTACTCTCTAACTTTTCTTATACAATAAATTTTAATCAATTTTTTAATAAATAGAGCCTTTAAACAAATAGGCCCTTAGGTACATCCCATTTCCCACCAAAAGAATTTTCTAGGTGATGATTTCATCAGCTATTGCATTATTAATTCACAGAAATTTAGTCCAAAATGAAATCATTGGAAGCTTACTTTAATTATTATTATTCACAAGCAATCACATACAACGTTGATTTCACAACCCTTCATATGGTTAAGAGGTGGGTCATCAAGATTATTCAATAATTATTCTTCCCTTTCAATGATTTTGATTGGCACAAATGGTTTAAACACAAGCAAACACTTAATAAAATCCCCCCAATGAAGAAGTGGCACCTAATTTACGTACAATAATATTGATGTATATTAGAGGCTTCTTTTCTAGAGATCTTAATAACCTCTATTATTTATTTCATGCTCCATGCATGTTTTAAGGGACATCGCAATGGACCATGCACGAGACATCTCATACTTAAAATTTTGGGAAGGATTGAAAAGGGTTTGAGAACAACAGATCAATTCCATCTGTATAACCCACAATTAATCATGCTTCTAATTATGATGACTAATTAAGATTGTAGTAATACATAAGCCTTCAATTGGTAAAAATAAGGTTTTTTTTCAGTAGTACTCTCCAAATTCCTTAAACTGAATTATTGAGGTTGTGGGAAGGTTGAATTGAGTAGCGGATTTGATAGCTTATCTTGAACAAGAAGATAAGGTATTCAATTTCATTCGGTAACAAGATTTTTGTGAAGTCATTTCTCTTTAAACGCATCTCATATTTTTCTCAAAATTTTCCACAATTTTATATCACGCCAGTTGTCAATTTGTTTTCGACTCAACTTTGAAACCTCGTAAGTCATAAGCAGAGACAAAATCTGGTTTGACTTCCCTTTCTGTTTTTTAATTTCAAACTAAATCGAAGGAAATTGCCTTTGGTACAAGTATGTGCTATTCCTACCATTTTCCTAAGCTGAATATATTATCCAAAGTCATCGGCACCTTTGTTTCAGTTTCATAATGGGAATTTTTTGCCGACACTTTATTTTCATTTCTATTATACCTCATGCTTATGACTTAAATTTAAAATATCTTATATATTTTTACTTAATTATTGACACTTAAAATTTTAATTGAAAGTTTTAAAATCCTATTGGCTGAAAACATCCCTTAGACACAATGATACTATAAATAAGAATGAAATTACTATAGATTACACGTATTGTAAGCTTTAATAAAAGTTTAACATTTGCATTTTGGTCCCATATATCTTGTCCCTGAAGTAAAAGTCTTACTTGCTGTTTCTTATGTTCCATAACTAGTGTTGAGATGTACATACTGAGGGATGGCTACATACCAAATGTTCAGATTAGCATTTTAGATTAAATATATAATTGATATTTGTTAATCAATATTTGTTTGATACAGTATATATAATTTAAAATATATAATTTAATAAATAAATTATTTTCAAAATGATAATCCAAACATTAGATTGTCAATCATTT